ATCATTTGCAATGGTGCAGGTGCATCCACTCTTTGTGTTCTCCCAAATTCTAATCTCCTGAATTCTTCATGTCCTCTTCTTTTTTCTCTTTCCAAATTTATTTCACTGGATTATACTGCTTGAATAACATCTTTAAACCCTAATCTTTGCGATTACTGCTTATACTTTTAACAACTCTATCACTATAGGGTTTGAATTTACAATTGTATCTGTGTGCAAATGTGGTGTAGCAACTCGAACTGATGTACGTACGTACGAAATTCTACGTTGTTACTGACTGACTGACATATTAGAACAGAAGTTTCACTAAGTATATCAATTCAAACATTAGCAGCTATCTATATGTATATTCTATGAACATTTCAATATGATGAGAATTTCATCTCTTCTTCAAACATTTAAATGAATAGAGAAAATGCTAAAAATCACTTGGTACCTTTCTTCTATATATTATCACCATGGGATTGATTACTTCTATGAATTTGATGTACATTTTGTTTGTGCTAATGAGGTATAGTAACTTGAACCGATGTATATATGTGCCTGGTTCTACGTTGTAGCTAGCTGACTAACTGACTGACTGATACCTTAAACATGTTAAACATTGAACAATGAATACTTACTTAGTTAGGCCTGTTACTGCTCATGGAAGAGCATAGGCCACTAACTAGCATTCTCTATGCAATTCTATCCTGTGCAGTCCTTCTCAGCTGTTTCCAGTTGTTATTCACCCTTTTAATATCTGCTTCTATTTCCCGACGTAATATGTTCTTTGGTCTTCCTCTTTTTTGTTTCTTTTCATGAATTCCAAGTTAAGGCTTGTCTCGTGATGCAGTATGGTGATTTCTGTAATGTATGTCCTATCCATTTCCATAGTCTTTTCCTGATTTCCTCTTCAGCTGGAAGCTGGTTTGTTCTCTCCCACAGTAGGGTGTTGCTGATGGTATCTGCCCAACAGATGTTGAGTATCTTGCGTAGACAATCATTTATAAATACTTGTTTCTTCTTGATGGTGGTTTTAGTAGTTCTCCAAGTTTCAGCTCTAATCAATAAAACTGTCTCGACGTTCGTACTGAAGATTGTGACTTTGATATTGGTTGACAGGTAGTTTTTTTTGAGTTCCATATATTCTTCAATTGCTTTCCCAACGCTCACCTTTACGTCTGCATCTGATCCTCCTTGTTCATCGATGATGTTTCTCAGGTACATGATGTATTCCAAACCTTCTAGTTTTTGTCCATCAACTATGATTGAGTTGATGTTCTCCATGTTGTATTTGAAGATCTTGCCTTTTTTTTCTTTTTGTGTATATTGAAGCTTACTGATACAAAAGCTGTTGTTACATTGAATACGCTACAACAAATCACATCGATACATTCTATATATATATATATATGTCATTTCATTATGATAATTAACTTTTCATATTCACAGTTGTATTCTTTCGTCTTTTCTTCTTTCTTCTTCTTCTTCTTCTCTTTTTTTATGTTTTAATCTCTAAACACAAAAAACAAAAATACGTTTACTTACATAACTCAATGTCAATAGAACGTGTAAATAAATAAAGGAAAAGAAAAAAGAGAAAAAGAAAAAAAAGAGGGAAAAAAAGTGATTTCACAGATTAACAAAACGGAAATGAAGTGATTTTGTATATAAAAAAAAATAAGATACATCAAAGTGTATCCTATTTAAATAAGAAGTAATATATTGTTTGTAGACATACTGTGGTATATACTACTGATATCGTTAGATATAAGTAGCATGTATCATTCATCGAAAAATTAAATGTTTTGTAGTAAAATTATAAGAATATCGAAAGGAAAGTGAATGAGAATAGATAGTAATTGATGGAGAAATGAAGGGGGATTGAAGTATTTACTGTATGATACTAAGAATTTACTAAGAGATTCTGTTATGGTATATTCCGGTACATTCGATTATTCGCATTTGTGTTCTTATTCACTACATTACCATTATGAATAGACATTTTTTTCAAGGTGGATCCAATGTTGATTAAACAAGATAAAAAAGAAACTTGTACAGTCAATATGTATGTTTGTGTAGTGAGTAGTAGGTTAGGGTTTTGTATAATGGTGATTTGAATGTAAATACATACTTCAATAAATATTGACTTAATTCAATGTGTACATAAAGGAAGATAACTTTTTCCTATATGTGTAATCTAAATATTGTTTTCGAAAAAAAAGTGAGGAAATGAAAGACTTCAATTCATCTAGTATTTGATTGAGATTATGAACTGATTGATGTAAGACCAACTTTTGGAAACCTGGAAGTACTGGACGACCGTTTCGTCCTATTGTGGGACTCCTCAGCAGTGCGCATCCTCGATCCCGCTCACATGATTCGAACTTAGGGCCTTCGGTTTCGCGCGCAAACGTTTAACCTACTGGACCACTGAGCCAGCATCCAATGGTGATAGTGTCTAACATCAACCAATCCACATCAATCGGTTCATGATCTCAATCAAAAACCTAATAATCTCCACAACCCCTATACTAGTAATCACATCTACTCTTGGCTAAATCTTGTACAAAGGTTGTTTCCTATTTTATTGGTTCGATGTGGTCTGTTTGGTTGGTATATAAACTCAGTATGTTTGAAATAAAGGATTCATATAACAGAGACTGAGATTGGTGTTCTGGACTAGGCGGGAAGCAGAACCGATAAGGACTTTAGACTGCTCATACTTCTTTTATGCATCATTGGTCCGGTCGATAATTCACTGCTCTTTAATTGGTAGTATCATTATGTTATACATTAACAGGGCACACAGGCTAAAAGTTATGACAGGATTCCAATGGTTTCTGAAAATCCTTGTCCAATTACATAACTTTCACTCTATTTTTTAATCCATAAAGAAAGTTTTTTATGAAAACTGATAAATTTAATAGTTGAAATAACTGACCAACTTAACCTGAACAACCATCAATAAAATAGCGCGCTTCTTCTTCTCCCTTCTTCCGCCTGTTACTGCTAATTGAGCATAGGCCGCTGACCAGCATTCTCCAACCCACTCTGTCCTGCCCCTTCTTTTCTAGTTCCATCCTATTCCTGTTCATTCTTCTCACGTATGTCTCCATTTCTCGGTGTAACATGTTATTTGATCTTCCTCTTTTCCTTTGGTCTTGAGGATTCCATGTGAGGGCTTGTGTTGTGACACAGTTGGGTACAATCCTCAATGTGTGTCCTATCCACCTCCAGCACTTCTTCCTGATTCCTTCCTACACTAGGATCTAGTTTGTTCTTTCCCACATTTGGTTGTTGATAATAGTGTCCGGCCAACGGATCTGAAGTACTGTTAATAAACAATTGTATCTTCTGGATGACGGCTTTCGTAGTTCTCCAGGTTTCTGCCCCATACAGTAGAATTGTGTTGACATTTGTATTGAAAATCCTGACCTTGTTGTTGGTTGACAGACAGTTGTTTTGAGTTCCAGATGTTGTTCGATTGTAGATATGCTGCTCTTGCTTTGTCGATCTGTGCCTTCACATTTGCATCAGATCCACCATGATCATCAATAATGCTGCCCAAATATGTAAAGGTTTTTACATCTTCCAAATCTCTGTCAATTGTGACTGGATTGGTGCATGCTGTGTTGTATCAGAGAATCCCGCTTTTCCCTTTGTGTATATTGAGACCTACTGCTGCTGAGGCTGCAAAAAGCACGCACTAGACAGTTAATTCATCCTATTATAGTATTACATAGAAGTTTACACCCATCACCTTCTATTAGATCGAAATCAGAAGATTCACTTCTTACTTTACTCTAACTTACTTATTTCCTTACACCTTTTGCTCCAACTAAAGCATAGGCCGCCGATCAGCATTCTCCAACCTACTCCGTTCTAAGCTTTTCTTTCTAGTTCTATCCAATTATTGTTCATTCTTCTCATGTATGTTTTCATTTCTTTGATGTTCAACTTCTCCTTTGGCCTTGATGGTTCTAGTTAAGCATTGTTGGGCTCGGTCAGTACTTGCACTTGTACACTATTAACACTATGCCAATCAGTATAAAATATCAGGAAATATTCATTGTTGACGCCGGTGACACTTGTCTCATTCCCATCCGAGTTTAAAACCATCAGTTAAATGATTAAAATCTATTCTGAAAAATAAACTATTCATACTGATAAATCTTACTATTGAATAGTCTAAATTCAATCTGTGAAAATATTCCAAGAATGTTTACAATACTGATCATGTGATGTATACTATTCATGGCAACTGATATAAGTAGTATGTAACATCAATCGAAAATGGAAGAATGCCTGACAGCAGAAAATTGAAGATAAGAGAATGAGAATAGAGAGTGATTGATATGGAAATGAAAGAACAACAAAGTCTAAGACAATTGATGTACATTCTACAAATGAAATATTAAATGTATGGTATCCACCATTCATCATATAACTCTGTAGTTCTAGATCCTGTTACATTTGGTTATCCAGTGATGTATGCTACTGATATTGACGGATATAAGTAGTATGTATCATCAATCGAAAATGAAATGTCTGGCGGTAGAAGTTTAATCATGAGTCAATTGAAGCTAGACCATCATGGAAAACCTGAAAGCATCGGACGGCGGTTTCGTCCTAATATGGGACTCCTCAGTGGTGCGCACCCACGATTTCTCACCCCGCGAGATTCGAACCCAGTATCTATCAATCTCGCACCAAGCGCTTAACCAACTGGACCACTGAGCCGGCATCCAACGGTCTTGATGTCTAACTTCAACCAATTCACAAAGTTGAGCCACTGTACACCATTGTCTTCAGTGAGCTGATATCTCACAACAGACTTGGTTGAACTCCACTGGTAACGGTAGAAGTTTAAGAAGATCGAACAGAAGACAACGAGAACAATGAATGTTTGATATGTCAACGTGAAAACAATCAAGTCTAAGATGATTGATTGACATTTTTTGCCGCTAAACTATTGAATGTATAGTATTCACTCCTTTTTTCTTCATTTCTTTCAGATTAAACATTAAAGTAAAAAAACAAATGGATTCTGAAAATCGTGTCATTCTAAATGTTGGCGGTATTCGTCATGAAACTTATAAAGCTACATTGAAAAAGATACCAGCAACACGTTTATCTAAATTAACTGAAGCATTAGCTAATTATGATCCTGTATTAAATGAATATTTTTATGATCGTCATCCAGGTGTATTTTCACAAATATTAAATTATTATCGTACTGGTAAACTTCATTATCCTGTTGATGTATGTGGACCATTATTTGAAGAAGAATTAGAATTTTGGGGTTTAGATGCTAATCAGGTATGAATTGATTGGATTGTCCTTTTTTTTCTATTAATATTACAAGACAATATTTGGGGGGGGGATGGGGGTAAACTGATACCTTAGATGCTAGCTCGATGGTCTACATGTTGGGCGTTCGTGCGCGTACACCGTAGGTCCCGGGTTCAAATCCTAAGGGTCGGGTTATGGATACGCATTGCTAGGACAAAACGGTCGTCCAGTGCTTCCAGGTTTTCAATGATGGTTTAATATCAATCGATTCACGATTTCAACCACAAAAATATTATTTCTTACGGAATAGGGTTTGTTAACTCATTACTTAACATTTTTTTAGTATTAGAAAAGGGTTTTTGTAGATATTCTAATAATTTCAGTAGTTGGATTCATGAGTCAATTGATGCTAGATCACCATGGAAAACGTGAAAGTACTGGACGGCAGTTTCATCCCATTCTAGGACTCCTCAATGTCAGTGCGCATGACGATCCCGCTTCGTGAGACTCGAATCCAGTACCTGACGGTCTTAAGTGCGAACGCTTAACCTCTAGACCACTGATCCGGCATCCAACAATGCTAATGTCTAACTTAAACCGATCCACGATATCTCGCATCCGTCCTCCGTTGTCTTCAATGAGTAACTGCTTCATACCAGACACGGCTGAACTCCAGTGGTCACGACATCTCATTAGAACTGAAGGAAATCCATCGTAAAGCTAGTGGACTGCTAAATTTATATACGTCAAACTCATAGCCCGATGGCGAGGTTTTATTATCTACTGTACACTATGGTGTTCCACCTCGACAATCAACATCTGTAGTAATAGTACCTTTCTATAAAGAAAGAAAGGGGTTAGAAAATGATCAGCCTTAACTGAACAAGTTTCCATTCCTAGGAAATAATGTTTTAAAAGTGCCAAGTCAACTCATCTGAAACCATGTACAAACGATTTGTGTGCATCTGGCGATAAACTTTTGTTCTTTTAGTCGATGCGACCACACTTCTAAGTCATTAAGACCATCCTAAGACAAGTTTCCTGTTCAAGGAGTTTAAGAAGAACTATCTTTTCATAACCTGTGCAAGTCCCCATATTCTTCTGACAGCGGTCTAAATCACTTCGTTTACAATGAAACCCTACATTCACTATTCAATACTTCTTCTATTTGCCATACAAACTCTTCTTATATTCAATAAACCCATTCAATTTAACTTATGACCTGGATTCTTAAATGTATTACATAAATAAAATACAAAATCCTAATAGGGTGTCTGAATAGTACTAATGTTGATTTAAAGTTTACCAATGTCATATATAAATTTGTTATTTGTGTTTTCTTAGAAATATTTAGTTACCATAGCAACTGTCAGAGTTTGTTTTTTAATAAAAAACAGGGTTCATATTTAGTTAGACGGCTACAATTATTTAATTTGCTAGTGTTAGTCTACGTTTATGCCATTAAACAAGCAAATGGCTATCAGGACTCAGTAGCTAAGTGGATAACATGATGGTGTTTGATGCGAACAATAATGGATTCGAGTCCTGGAGTGAACATCAACTCTGAGATGAAGGTACATCTAGGATGAAACACGTGTCAAACTGGATTCCACTGTTAACCATTATCCATCTTTGCTTATAATGTTCGTCTAATCAGTTTAATTAATTAATTATTAGGTGATGATCTGGAGTTGTGGATTTAGGTTTCAGACAAATTTACAGATATTATCAACATATATCTATAATTATAAAATGATTACAGTAGATTATTAGATTTGAATCTATGTCGCTTAATATTACAAACTTAATTGTTCTTTCGTTTCCATAACAATCATCCTCTGCTCTCGTTCTCTTCTCTTCGAACTTCTGAACCAACTTCCACTAGGTGTTTCACTTTCAATCAATGATATACACTACTTATATCTGAAGATATCAGTAGCACAAAACACACTATCACTAATGAATTCGGGATTGATATTATTATCCTTTAAGCGGATCATATAACCATTCACCATAAATATATACACAGTCAACCGGGTCTATTGTAAGATAGTAAATCAAAGGTGGATCTGTCACACAATTTCGTGGATTAGTTAAATAATGGCTAGCTCAGTAGACTAGAGGTTAAGCGCTCGTGCGAAATCGACAACTCCTGGATTCAAAGCTCATGAGGCGGGATCATGGATTTCAACTGCCTCTGAGGAGTCCCACAGTAGGACGAAACGGTCGTCTAGTGCTTTGAGGTTTTCCATGGTTGTCTAGTTTCAATCGACTCATGATCTCGACTATTGAAATTACTATAATATCCACAAAAAACACCTGATATTAATCAGTATATGCTCAATAGTGATGGTCTCCATGAGGTATTTGTTGAAGTTCTGATGAGTATCAGTGACTAATGGAGTTTAACTGGATGTGCTGTAAGATAGTAACTCATTGATGACAATGATAGATGTGTCGCTCAATTTCTTGGATTATTTGGATAACGGCCAGCTCAGTGGTGTCTAGAGGTTAAGCGCTCGCGCACGAGACTGATATATCCCAAGTTGAAATCTCATGAGGCAGGATACGTACTACTATTAAGGAGTCTCACAAGAGGACGAATCAGCTATCCAGCACTTCAAAGTTTCCCACAGTGATCTCACTTCAATTAACTCATGATCTTAACTACTATAATAAATATGTGATCACCAAATCGGTTTGTATTTATAAACTTTATCTCATTATCATTCACAGTTATTCGTTATAACTCTCTTATTAGTAGAAATGATGTAACAAAATTTTGTCAATTATGTAACAATCAAAATGTAATCGCTTTTTTTTTGCTTTTTGGTTGTTGTTGTTGTTTTTTTTTGTTTTTTGTTTACCCCCCCCCCTTCAAAAATGGATATCCTATTTCATCATTGAAACAACATAATTATTCTTTGGAAATTTCAATATTTCAATATTTAATATAAAACATATGGTGAATATTTAAAAAAAGGTTGTGAATAGCGCGCGCGCGCACGAGAGAGAGAGAGAGGGAGAGAGAGAAACCCGCCAAAATGTTTAATTCTATTTAAACAAACTCTATAACAACAAAAGATATTGAAACATTTAAACAAAATTTTTAGTTTGTTTATTTATGGGATCGTTTTTTTCGATTCTTTTTTTCTTTTTTTAAATTTTATTCTAAACAGATTGTCATGAAATTTTATATACTACTTATATTATTATAGGAATATATTTCATATATAAATAGTTGAATTCATGAGTTCATTGAAATTAGACCACCATGGAATAATTTTCTAGTTAGCGTTTTTTTAGCGAGTTAGTTTTCTACAGGATACGGTCGCTAACTCTATGCCCAACCCTCCTCCTTTATCTGGGTTTGGGACTGACAGTAGCTCCCGGAGGGACTCCAGGCGAAGATTTGGAAGATGTAAAAACCTTTACGTATTTGGGCAGCATCATTGACGAACATGGTGGATCCGATGCAGATGTGAAGGCGCAGATCGGCAAAGCAACAGCAGCATATTGACAACTGAGGAACATCTGGAACTCAAAACAACTGTCAACCAACACTAAGCTCAGACTTTTCAATACGAATATCAAAACAGTTCTACTGTATGGGGCGAAAACTTCGAGAACGACGAAAGTCATCATACAGAAGATACAAGTGTTTATTAACAGTTATCTACGCAAAATACTTCGGGTTCGTTGGCCGGACACTATTAGCAACAACGTACTGTGGGAGAGAACAAACCAGAACCCAGTGGAGGAAGAAATCAGGAAGAATCGCTGGAAGTGGATAGGACACATATTGAGGAAAGCACCCAACTGTGTCATAAGGCAAGCCCTGACATATCATCCTAAAGGCTAAAGGAAAAGAGGAAGACCAAAGAACACAATACGCCGGGAAATGGCGATAGACATGAGAAAAATGAACAAGAATTGGATGGAACTAGAAAAGAAGGCCCAGGACAGAGTGGGTTGGAGAATGCTGGTCAGCGGCCTATGCTCCATCGGGAGTAACAGGCGTAAGTAATTAAGTAAGTAAGTAAGTAAGTAAGTAAGTAAGTAAGTAAGTAAGTAAGTAAGACCACCATGGAAAATGCGGAAGTAATAAATCGTCAATTCGTCCTATTGTCGAACTCTTCAATGACAGTGTAAATCCACGATCATCTCTCACAAGATTCGAATCTAGGACCTGCCGATCCCGCTTAGTTTATAGACAACTGAGCTGGCTATCATCCAATAATGTTCATATCTAACTTTAATTTATTTATCAAATTGAACGACACATCCATGATTGTCATCAATAAGTTACTATCTCACAACTGAGCCAGTTGAACTCCACTGGTCACTAGAACTCCATGAAATACCTCGTGGAAACCGTTAGTACTGAGCTTATGTTGAATTTATAAATCGATCTAAGTTAGACCAGCATTGAAAACTTGAAAACATTAGACGGTTGTTTTGTTCTAGTATGGGAATTCTCAAAAATACACATCCACGATTCCGTACTAAAGAGACTTAAACATTTATCCTGAGCACTGAAATTAAACTCAGCAATGGGTTTACTTTTTAAATGGTTAAAAAATATCTCTTTTAATGGAACTTTTCTGCTTAACGTTTTTTTTAACGAGTTAGTTTTCTACGGGATCAGGTCGCTAATATCATGCTTTACGCTCCTCCTTTATCCGGACTTAGGACTGTCGGGAGCCCCAGAGAGGCTCCAGGCGGAGTTCATCCACTTACTTTTAGACTGTATAATTCTATGTACTAAAAGAAAGCAACAACAAAAAATTTGTTCATATCATTGATATCGTAAATCGACTTAAGTTAAGTATCCATTGAATGTGCATACTAGTGACTAATTTCAAGAGTTACGTCTGAATTTCTTATGATAAGCCATTACCAGTGGATTTCAATTATGTCAGGTGTAAAGCAATTGTCTACACCACTCAATAAATAAGAATAGAGCAATATCATGAATTGATTACAATTAGATATATACACGATTAGATTGTGACTTAGCTTGTGCGTGCGTAACTAAAGTTCCTAAGCTCGATTCATATTTGGCTCGTGGATTCATACTGGTAAAGAGATTTATATTAAGATGAGACAACTATTCAATGCTTTATGATTTTCAATGGGTATTCAATTAAAGTGGCTTCATAAATTAAAGAAATACTTCAGTACTTCAGAGTACATTATAAACAAAGATGGATATTGGCTAGCAGTGGAATCCAGGACACACTTTTCTTCCTGATTGGGACTCATTAGCTGAATGTACCTGCATCTTAGAGTTGATGTTCACTCTTAGACTCTAACCCAGTACGCCATAGCTTTATCCACTTAGCTACTGAGTCCTGACAAGTTTCAAATAGGACAAAACGCGCGTCCTAGATTCCACTACTAACCAGTATCTCTCTATGCTTATAAAGCTTGTGACTTCAAGCAATATCGAGACAGTCCGTACAGGATGAACATATGCCAACATGAGACTGATCAAATGCAGTCCCAAATAACAATGGAAAGATACAAGTAAAACAACACCAGGTGAATAAAAATAGTACATTGTTTCATCCTTGAAATAGAAAAAGTAATTGAAATTTAAATCGTTTTATAGTTTCACTGATCATTATGACACGATCTTCTTTCATTGAATTCAAAGATAATCCACTCTGTTAAATTCTAACAAAGAATAAATGAATGGTAACCGCTAGGATCCATTTGTGGACTTTTGTAACATATATACTTATTATCAGTTTAGAGGTTGTGGAGATCGTTAAGTTTTTGATTGAGATCATAAACCGATTGATGTTAGACCTGGAAGCACTGGACGGCCGGTTCGTCCTATTGTGGGACTCCTCAGCTTCGTGAGAAACTTCTCGAAGTTCTGGTGAGAAGCCGAGACCAGTGGAGCTATTCCGTGTTAGGTAGAAACAGGTGTCTACCTCAGTACAATGGAAGATGGTTGCGCAATCTCGTGGATTGGTTGAGGTTAGACATTAAAACCATCGGATACCGGCTCAGTGGTCCAGTAGGTTAAGCGTTCGCACGCGAGACTGGAGGCCCTGGATTCGAATCCCGCGAGCGGGGTCGTGAATGTGCACCGCTGGGGAGTCCCACTATAGGACGGAACGGCCGCCCGGTGCTTACAGGTTTTCAATGGTAGTCTAACATATTCTTATTGTACAACTAACTATTATGTAACTATGTCGTATGTATATTCCTATTCTTTTCATTATAAGCTTCCATCCGACCTATAAACTACTATTATACGATCTATTAGTTACAGCCCGTTACAATCACAGACACTTTTTGGCTTGATCTCGTCTAGTTATTTTATATTTTATGGTACGATGAAGTCTAGTTTGTCTGTATATAAACCTAATACGTTTGAAATATATGATCCATACAATGGAAGTTGATATTGGCGTTTTGGACTAAACCGACTGTCTTAGACGAGAAGCTACTATCTCAATGGACTAATAAGAACTTGAAGTTGACTCTGAACTGCTCATATAGGTTTAGGCGTCATTGTGGTCTGGACAATAAATCGATATTCTAATTGAAGATCATATCACATGACATATTCGATTTTCGTTTAGTTGAATGATAGTCTAAACATGGTAAATACTGAATAGTTGGATTCCCTTTATACTTTGAATCTCATAAACAAAATGAATCCTTTCTATTTTATCAACTATATATGAGTTGAATAGTTTCCGTCAAATTATTGGATAATCATGAAATGTATTCCTATTGTGTGAAATATACAATCTTATCAGTATAGGGTCTTGTGAGAATCTTAAAAATTGATCTAAGTTAAATCACATTTGAGAAACTAGAACAGATGAACTACCGTTTCATCTTAGGATGAGGCCTTTCAATACTACACATCTACAAACTCACAACGTCGGATCGAACTCAGAGGTTATGGTTTAATGCATGGATGTTTAACCTCTAGAACATTAAGCATCCAGTGGTGTACAAGTCTAACCTCAAGCAATTTACAATATTTCACAGATACTTTTCATTGAGTAAGATGGATAACTATCTTACATGTGTCAAGACTGAACCCAACTAATAAAACTTTCTCACTAGAACTCGACGAATTTCATTTTGGAGCTAGTTACTAGTAAGTACACTATACTTTTCACTAGTGGATTCATGAAGACTGTTACATATTACTAACATCTTTACTCAAACTGATTAAATTTAGACTTGTGGATTACTAAGTGCTAGTTCAGTAGTCTAGTGTTTAAGAGTTCATGAGGAAGACTGATGGTTCTGAGCTCGATTCACAAGCACAATATCATGGATCCTTACTACTTCTTATACATATTTATGATTTTTAAAAGTTTGTATTTTATCTTTGTTGAGGTTAAAGACTGTAAGTGATCAGCCTTTATTAGTATATGTGCATTTTGTGAGGATTGCCTCAATATCACTATCGAATCACAAGTTTTTACTAAAGTTGAATAGTGACTAGTAGTAGCATTGAAGATTCGCATTTCATTCTATTTAGAATTCTTTGTATAGATCCCAGTGTTGATATTTGAAGTGAAGCTCGAACTCAGTATATTACTTATCAAACTGGAGTTAAGTAGGAGATGATAACCTTAGATTCTGATATCCTACTAGTCTGCACTCATTATCAAAGAGGAGATAGAATCAATAAGATTCAAATTCGTATCATCCAGCCTCAGAGTTTGACACATTACTACTGGTCTATTCTGTATGTGATTCTCATTTAGGACTAATAAGATACAATGATTGATCATTCAGTAGTAATCAACTACTTCTTACTGATGATTACAATTCCTTGAATCAATTTCTTTTATAATCAGGTTGAACCATGTTGTTGGATGACTTATACGGCACATCGTGATACTCAGGCTACTTTACAAATTTTAGACAAAGTTGATATGGATAATGATGATTATACACCAGAGACATTATATAAACGTTTTGGTTTAGAAGATGAATATACATGTAATGAATTGAATACTTGGCAGAAATATCGACCAAAAGTATGGGCATTATTTGAATTGCCACATTCATCAATTGGAGCAAAAGTGAGTAGTTCATAAAATATCTAAGACGGCAAATGTTTCTTTTTTGTCAGATAATTATCCTCTTAAACACCTTCGGTAAGTTATAGACTATAAAGATATGTGTATTTTCGGTAGTATTCAGTCCTCTGAGCTATACAGTTTGATTGTGGACCTTTGACTGTCATTATGGATAAAATCTTCAGTGCCTACTTCAGGTAAGAAGAAAATCATGACATCATTTACAAAATTAACTGCATCAGCTGTGAGAGATATTACATTGAACTAAGTAGGCGTTTTCTTCACTTACTCATAAAAGAACATAGATTAGCAGTGATGCAATATGATATAGTTATTATAATATACCCTTGTGGGTCAGGGTAATTTTACATTGGTTTTCAGGAGAACCAGACACCATCCAGACTTTCACGTGAAAACCCAAACAGTACAGCTCAACCCCGTTTAGCAGGGGAACCAGACACTGTATAGACTTTAACGCTACAATCTAAATAGTACAGCTCAATCCTGTGGCGCAACCACACAGGTACCAAGCACCCTGGTGAACCAATGCAACATGATATACCATAACTGATATCAATAATGAACTCTATGACGTAATTATTATTTCACCTAAAAGGTTATTGAAAGTCTCTTAAAGATATTATTACACAGCTCTTTGTAGTAATAATGATAATAATTTGCATAGACTACTTAGATGGTTAAATTGAGGAGCTTTCATTGTCATTGTGGACAATATCTTCTGCACATACGTCATACGGAAGAGAACTTTCTTATTATTCCGTAAATGTCGTATCCGTTCATTCCGACGAACTTGTTTATGATCGGTTGTTTTGGTAGATCTTGTTGACTTCATTTAACTTTGTTATCCAGGTTGACTAATGTTTGTTGGTTAATCTCTGGTCAAGTGATCTATTGATCCCTTCTATTGGGTGTATGTTGTTGTGTCCATCGCTATTTGATCTTAATATCACACTTTTAGGAACTCTTTAATATTCTTGAACTGTTCTTGATCTAAATACTTTTACGTTTCTACACTCGAATTTGTGTCCACAGTTTCTACATATATATTGATATCCGTTATGGTATATCATGTTGCATCAATGCTAATCTATGTTCTTTTATGAGTAAGTGAAGGAAACGCCTACTTTGTTTAGTATTAATAGGATTTCTTACTGGTCAAAGAAACATTTCAGTAAACCATATAACTATCATATGGTATAAAGAGTTATTCATATCTATTAAACCTGAACAAATGCTAAGGGCCTAGGTTCGATTCTTGCATACGTGGTTGTGATTACTCACTTCTAAGTAATCTGTCATACGACAATAAAACAATCATCCATAGCTTCCAGATTTTTCAGGGATAGTCTAACTTAGATCGATTTATTACTTAAATGAAATTCAATCATCTACATAATAACATAACAATAAATACGATTCTATAGGTTAATAAGATGGCCGGCTTGATTATCTGGGCTACCTATTTCTATCATCTAAATATCTCATGAAGGTATCTAATTTCGTTTGTTTTAATACATCATTATGGCTATTAATGGCATAAACCATTTAGGAATGTTTCCTAACAGCATACCACCATTCATTGTAGAAGTTACAAAAGAGCACAATCATAGATATCGGGATTGCTGGCAATATGCATTGAAATGAATGAACATTATTCACATATTGATTAACTGAACTGGCAACAATTTAATATTTATCGTCACGAATCGGCAAGACTATAATTTATGAACGAGCCAATCGGAAGCGTTTGAGAGATTTCAAGGTTATGGTGCCAATTCCAGTACCTGATGCTCACATACGATTGGTTTACAGCAGATTTTAGAGAAAACATGACGATTAAGTGTCTACAACAAATGGAACTATTAAGAAGTTCCTTTATTTGTAACCCTCATGAATCAAATAACCACTGTATCGTGTTCAGATTACCGTAATGAGATTCTCTTTCGATTTTATTTATGTTGGATGAAGAAGTCTGATTGAACAGGAACTTTCTTCGCTCGATCCCGATTGAGACTAAAAGAATCCATGGTAATTGCTGTAAATCAGATAATAAATGCACCAGTAACACTGGCTGCAACATTTGCAAACGTTACTGAAACTTCAGCTTTTCACTGGATGAGTATTATAAAGATATATGAGCAATGCAAATGAAAAGTTTACACGAGTCGTTTAGAGAATCATTGTGGACCCTACAACAGGAATGTACACTAACAATATTGAAGCTATGTGGTCAAAGCTAAACGAGTTCTTACAACCTTATCATGGTTCAAGAGGTTGACTATTATGGAACCATATGAGATGAGTTCCTCTACTGTGTGCACTACAATTTCAGAATTTCTGAACTTCTTTCAAACCTTAATAGATTTATAAACCATATAAACTAACTGTCTTCTGATTGGATAATATTTATCAAGGTCACTTAAGATTTGTTCAAAGGTCATTCATAAACTATAGTCTCGCCAAGGAATCTCCTTGAAATACCTTCTACTGAGAAGTCTGTATTGAATAAAGCCACTAATAATAATAATAATAATAATAATAATAATAATTTCGTGCATTGGTTGAAGTTAGACATTAATACCAACTCAGTGGTCTAGTGGTTAGGCACTCTCGCGCCAAGACTGGAGGCCGTGGGTCCGAATCCCGAGATCGGGATAGTGGATGTGCCCTGCCACTGAGGAGTTGCACAATAGAACGAAATGGCCGTCCACTAATTACAGGTTTTCAACGGTAGCCTAACATCAATCAGTTCGTGATCTGAATCAAAAACTTAATCCTCTTTATTGCATCCCTATTTTTTTTTTATCCAATTTTCTTTCTTTTTCTTCTTATTCTCTATTCCAGTTTATTGCTCTATTATCAATCACATGTATTATTCTTTCAATATTGGCTTATTGTATGGATACATCACCAATATTTTCTACACCATCCATTCGTACAGAATTAATGAATACAACAGATGATCATCATATAGATACTACTGCTACTACTACCATTACTACTAATACATTAGGTAGTAGTATAAGTAGTCTATCATCAAATCATCATTATAATAAACCGAAAACATCAACCCTATTCATGAATAATCATAAACAATTAATCAAATCAAATTATTCATTATATCATAATTATACAATTCTGATGAATAATAAACACTTGAAAAAGAATATCCTCTTTATTTATATAGAATGTTTGTGTAATATCTGGTTTACCATTGAATTAATCATACGATTTACCGTAACAATAAATCATAAAGAATTTGTAAAAAATTTAATTAATCTAATTGATATTGCTGCATTATTTAGTTTTTATATACAAGTCATATTATTACATCATCATCAGCATCAGCATCATCATTATCATTATGAGAATAGTTACCATGGCAACTATAGTAACTATGGGAACAGCGGGGGTGGTGGTGGTGATAATGATGATAATGTAACATTTATATCAATTATTGAATTTTTTAGTATATTACGTGTTATGCGTTTATTTAAATTAACACGTCATATATCTGGTTTAAAAATATTAATATTAACATTTAAAGCAAGTGCTAAAGAATTTTCATTATTAATATTTTTTTTGGCTGTATTTATTGTATTATTTGCTGCATTAATATATTATGCTGAACGTTTAAGTACTAATCCACATAATGATTTTACATCTATACCAATTGGTTTATGGTGGGCTATTGTTACTATGACAACAGTTGGTTATGGTGATATGGTGCCTAGATCATATGCTGGTAAGTGAATGTTTTATTATTATTATTTTTTTGTCTGTAAATTTGTCAATTTCATTATCAGAATTTGTATCATGAGTTAATTGAAGCTAGACCACCATCATGGAAAATGTGGAAGCTTCCAGGTGTTGTGGATGAGCATTGCTGAAGAGTCCCACAATAGGACGAAACGGCTGTCCAGTGCTCTAGGTTCAATTGACTCATGATCTCAACTGTTGAAAATTGTATTGTTGAGACTATCATTTATGGATGGTAACGTGACCTTCCGAATATCTATCTACTTACTAGGGCTAAATAAGGGTTATAAAGTAGTGTGAGGAATTAGGGTTTACTTTACAAACTGACATTAGCTAAAATGCCAAAAAGCTCTTTAATCCAATGGATGGGTAGATTTCGCACCAAAATCCAAGACATACTTACTTATGTCTGTTACTATTCGCTGAGGAATATAGGCCCAACACCAACATTCTCCATCCAACCCTGTCTTGGGCAATCCTTTCCAGTTAGCTCCACTTACTATTCATCTTTTTCGTGTCTGCTTCCAATTCCAGACGTAGTGTCTTGTTTGGCATTCAACTTTTCTGTTTCCATTCAGAATTCCAAGTTAGTGCTTGCTTCATGATACAGGTTGATGATTTCCGTAATGTGTGTCTTATTCACTTCCATTGTCATTCTCTGATTTCCTCTTCAGTTGGAAGGTGGTTTGTTCTCTGCCATAATAGACTCTTGTTGATGGTATCCAGCCAATGTATGTTGATTATCTTGTATAGATAACTATTTATAAATACTTGAACCTTTTTCATGATTGTTGTAAGAGTTCTCCACGTTTCAACTCCTTACAGTAGAACTGTCTTAACGCTGCCTTTAGCTGTTCTAGAGTTAATTCCCATCTTAAGCGCGGATTAAGGTGGACGAAGGTATGAGCATAGGGTTAACGACCAAATCCCATAGACACCCAACTCGCTGAAGATTAAAAACATTAACCAGAAGAATATAATTCATTTAAAACAAATTCCATACATAAAATTTATGCCTTAGCAACAAATCAATCAAAAGATATTATAAAACCTTCTTTAACCAAATTATTTTGAGAATGAATTTCGCGCTAAAATTTAAAACTTATTATTACAAATCTAATTGGTTCATTTATATCATTCTAATGTCACCGGGGGGGGGAAGGAGGGTGGGAATATTTGGTTTTGGTTTCGATTTCCTATTATTGATTAAATGTCGAATGTTAGTCAGTTTAGTTTTTCTTTTCTTTTTTTTCTTTTTTCTCTTGTTCTTTTCTTTCTTTTAATCTGAAATGATTGTTAAATTTTTCTTCTATTAAAAACAGGAGTGGGGGGGAGGAGAAAACTTTTTTATCTCTTTTATTTATAAAAAACAACCGATAAATTGATTTTTGTATTTTAATTATTCTAAACAACAACAACAACAAAAATATTCAACAAATTGTGGATGCACATTCCTGAGGAGCCCCATACTAGGATGAAACGGTCATCCAGTACTTTCAGGTTTTCTATGATGGTCTAGCTTAAACTAACTCATGATTTCAACTATTGAAATTGATAGGAGTTTATGAAAGTTATCCCATTGTATGATATTGAATAACCGTTAGCTAAAACGTAACAATAATTGGTAATAATGATAATTTAATCAGAAAATAACTGTGGAAATCTTCTTGAAATATATTCATTTTAATCGTTGAGATCATGAGTCAATTGAAGTGAGATCATCATGGAAAACCTGGAAGCACTGGATGGCCGTTTTGTTCTATTATGAGACTTGTCAGTAGCAGTGCGCATTCAGGATCCCGCCTTGTGAGATTCGAATTCAGGACTTATCAGTCTCACATGCTTTAGTACAGAATCGTGGATGTGTACTTTTGAGAATTGTCACACTTCTATGATATTACACCCAATGACTATAATCGTTCTCATTAATTAAGTAGTATATATAATATGAATATAACCAATTGAGTTATGATCTCAACTATTCAATTTACTATATTATCCACACAAAAAAACACTTTTTGGTACTAATCAACATATGCTTAATAGTGAATGACTTCAAGAGGAATTTCCTGGAGTTTTAGTGAGAATCAGTGACTAGTGGAGGTCAACCGGGTCTGTTGTGAGATAGTAACTCACTGAAGACAATGATGGATGTGTCGCTGACTTTTGTGGATTAGTTAAAGTTAGACATTAACGCCGTTGGATACCGGCTCGCGAGTGAGACTGACAGGTCCTACGCTCGAATTCGACGAGGCAGGATCGTGAATGCGCACTGCTGAGAAGTCTCATATTAAGATGAGACGACCGTCCAATGCTTCCAGGTTTTCAATGGTGGTCTAGCTTCAATTGACTCATGATCTCTACTATTAAAATATAAATATTACTGTATATTAGAGTACAGTCTAATGAGTTTCTAATCTAAAACAATATGGTTCACTTATTTATATGTTGCATGTATATTCAGTAAATAAGTTCTGAGAATAGGGTAACATTTACTGATTCTTCATTACTTGCATTTACTTCTATGGAATCTCATTCCGGTTTTTTTCGTTTTTCCTATGTTACAACTAGGCCCAGATACACACACACATACATACATACATTCATAGATGGATACATAGATACAGGCATACATACCTACACAGATACAAACAGAGATACATACATACCGAACCATTATTTTTCAACTGTGGTAAATGAATCAAAAACGAATAGGTAATAGTGTCAGTTATGTTGTATTTAGTTCCTCTGTAAAAACAAAATACCCAATGGATATATATATATATCCGACTGATATTAAGGATAATCAATACAACCTGTGATTGTAATGTAGTATTAGTTGCTATGTCAAGATCACTCAACTTATTCTTGTTGCTGGACAGACCACTTTTATTCATTCTTCTCAAACTACATTTTAACCTTGTCAATTATTCGCTTATTCAACCTGACTACTATTAATATGAGTATATATATATATATATACATATGATGTGTGTGTGTGTGTTGATTACTTACCCTATTCATCATATGTCTGTAACTTATTATAGTCTGACTATAAATATTGATTAACACTTGGTTAAATTGAGTTGATTTACATACTTTCTCCATTGTGCGTCATTTCATTTCATTCCGCTTAGCTCTCTCTCTCTCTCTCTTTGTTCTTCGTTTTGTTTGGCTTTATCTTCTTCGTTTTCATCGCTTTGTTCCCCTGATTGTCTGTCCAGATTAATGAATGTACAAAATACACGTATTCAAGTATCCATTCTAGTGTTTGACTTATTTAATTCAGCTATATTCCCTAATGTGATTATATAAGGGGATAGTTGAGATGTATATTTCGATAACTCGATAAAAATCATTCAGACAATCTAACTGGAATTAGATCTTGGGCCATAAAAGTTTTTATTGTAGTACCCCTGATCATTTAGGTTATTGCTTGAGTCTAGTGATAGTTTTTGATGAACAGAAATAATATGAATATAATTACCACCGAGTAAGTAATGTAGTTGTTAGGAAATGGGTAATAGGTAAAGATGGCAAATCCATTGATGAAGTTGTGAAACTTCATCAGTTTAGATGTCTGGGAAATGGGTTACGTATGACTAACCACCGACTGCTCCGGCGTGTGATGCTTCATGGTGTAGGAGTATGATGGAAGGAAGGTATTTGCGGCCAAATCAAAGCATGGCACAAATCCATGAAGTCACTGACTAGTGGACTGAGCCATGTTGGTAGGTGTACAGTGTCTGATTGGGATCCACGAGACGATAGCAACCGATGGTTAGAGACACTGAATGACATGGCTCAAAATCGTTTGCAATGGCGCAGGTGCATCCACTCTTTGTGTTTTCCCAAATTTTAATCTCTTGAATTCTTCATGTCAGCCTTTTTTGTCTTTCCAAATTTATTTCACTGGATTATACTCTTTAAATAACATCTCCAAACCCTAATCTTCCCGATTACTGCTTATACTCTTACTACCTCTACCACTACGGGATTTGAATCGACAACTGCATCTCTGTGCTAATTTGGTGTGGCAACTCGAACTGATGTACGTACGTACGAAGTTCTACGTTGTTACTGACTGACTGAATGACTGGCATATTAGAACAGAAGTTTCACTAAGTATATCAATTCAAACATTAGAAGCTATTTATATGTATATTCTATGAACATTTTAATATGATGAGAATTTCATCTCTTCTATACAGGGTTCAAACATTTAAATGAATAGGAAAATTGCTCAAAATCACTTGATACCTTTCTTCTATATATTATCACCATGGAATTGATTACTTCTATGAATTTGATGTACATTTTGTTTGTGCTAATGAGGTATAGTAACTTGAACCGATGTATATATATGCCTGGTCCTACGTTGTAGCTAGCCGACTGACTGGCTGACTGATACTTTAAACATGTTAAACATTGAACAATGAATACTTACTTAGTTAGGCCTGTTACTGCTCATGGAAGAGCATAGGCCACTAACTAGCATTCTCTATGCAATTCTATCCTGTGCAGTCCTTCTCAGCTGTTTCCAGTTGTTATTCACCCTTTTAATATCTTCTTCTATTTCCCGACGTAATGTGTTCTTTGGCCTTCCTCTTTTTCGTTTCTTTCTAGGATTCTAAGTTAAGGCTTGTCTCGTGATGCGGATTGGTGATTTCCGTAATATATGTCTTATCCATTTCCATGGTCTTTTCCTAATTTCCTCTTCAGCTGGAAGCTGGTTTGTTCTCTGTCACAGTAATGTTGCTGGAATGGAATAAATAACTGACTAATAAAAAACTCTAAAGTCTAGTCTAATTTCTTTCGTTGGGTTTTTTTTAAGTGGATGCTCACTTCAGAAGAGTTCCATGTTGGGAGAAAACGGCCGTCCAGTATTTCCAAGTTTTTCATGATGGTCTACCTTCAATGAACTCATGATCTCAACTAATAAAATTACTATAATATCCACACATCGCCCCCTTCTGATAAAATGAAGTATAAGTCTAATGGTTAAGTGCTCGCGCGCGTAGGTCCTGGGTTCGAATCCCGCGGGCGGTTCATGGATGCGCACTGCTGAGGAGTCCCACATTAAAACGAACCGGCCGTCCAGTGCTTCCAGGTTTTCCATGGTGGTCTAGCTTCAATTGGCTCATGATTTCAACTTGTATAAGTATAAAGTTCTTTTATATTCTAGTTTGAACCATGAATTGAAATTAGTTAAACCTTCATTGAAAACTAGAAAGCATTAGACAGTTGTCTCATCTTAGTATAAGACTCCTGAGTAGTGGACATGCATAATCCTAATACGTTATTGAACCTTAGACATTCTTTAACTTGAATCGATTAGTGACATAATACATTTTAACTTTACAAGTACAGTTTACCATTTATAGCCAGTCTATTACTCACTATTATCCCTAGTCACAGTTACTATGGGCTTGTTTATGTATGATTGTAGTTTCTCATTTTATGGTGTTGTGTAAATTAGTCCGTTTGTATATAAATCACGTTTGTTTGAAATTTAAATATATTCGAGATTGATGGCTATGTCTTGACTCATGGTAGAGCATAGAAAGGAGTTAACTAATGGTGGACTAGTAGGATCTTAGCTACTGTCTCAAGGTCAATAGTGTTATGTTGGAAGAAAACAATAACAGATTTCTTTCTTCGGTTGAATTGTATTAGGTGACGTATGATCGATCTGTAATTACAGGAAAGCATCCTTATGATCCCTCCCTCTCTCTCTCTCTCTTTAGTCCGATTATCGATGGGTCCACCTACATCAATGGACAACAGCCAAATCTTTAAAGCGTTGTTTTTGATCTTCGAACTACTCCTAACTCAGTAGCCAATAATAAAACGAAAATAGAAAGTAGATCAATTCTCTATTGTACTCAATACGTTCATGACTAAAAAGTTATACTTTTATAGTTTCACTAAGAGTTGGGTTCATAATACCGGTTTCCTTGACAACTCTGAACAGTCGTCTGTTGTTGACTATTGTTGCTACCTTTTTCATCTCTCTTGGTTTCACTACTCACCACTGTTCACGATCATTGCATAGACTTCTTATCAGTCTGCGCTTAAGCTGACTCCACTTTTCGTCGTGTTCAGAGCCAGATGGGATGAGTTTTCGAGCATCTATCAGTGCGGTAGATGCTGCTGAGATCCAGTGCTTTACGATAGCCTTATGGTTTACCATACTAGCAGATATCATTGCTGTTTCCAGAACTTTTCGGATATCATTCTACGTTGCCTCGGGGTGGGCATCACTTACATGGCTGCCTAACTGTTTTTCTAGTTATTCTTGAAATATATTCTTGGTTTGACGATCATTAAGTAGGACCATAAGAGGTTCCCCAGCAGCATCTTTCCTACGTCCAGTAAGACGTAGACAAATACACGCTTGCGCACTAATGAATTAAAATGGTTCATAAATTCTAGGTCGACATAGAAACTTGATACATCATCGACGGACGTCATTTCGAAATTCTTTGGTTGGTATTTCTTTAAGATTTATGGGATGGAATCGGAAAAAAAGTATATGAAAAACAATAACAAATCAATAGTTACTTAATTGGTAACTCAGTTGAACTTAACACTACAAAATAACTCTTATAAGGACTAGACTGAAATTAAAGCATAAAAATGTTGATTTACCTCTCTCAAAATTATAACTAACTTCAAGTTATCAGCAAACATGGGTGGTGGCTAATAGTGGAATCCAGGATGTGCGTTTCGTCCTATCTCGAACTCATCAACTAAATGTACCTACATCTCAGAATTGATGTGCACTCTTGGACTCGAAGTCAGTACCGTTCGCTTCAAACACCAACGCGTTATCCAATTAGTTACTGAGTCCTGATAGCCATTCGCTTGTGCAAATTTGTGAAATTTAAATTCACTTGGTATTGTTTACTTGAATCTTATCGTTGATGTGTTAGGACTGCGATTGATTAGTCTCCTATTGGAATTTGTGTTTCCTGTATGGATTGCCTCGATATTGCCCTAATTCACAAGCATTATAAACAAAGATGGGGATAGTGGCTGGTAATGGAATCCAGGACACATGTTCCGTACTATTTTGGATTCGTCAGATGGATGAACCTGATTCCTTGAGTTGATGTTTATTCCGAGACTGAATCCAGTACCCAGTACCTTCACTATATGGTTATCCTATTTTGCCAAGTAACTCCGTAATTTTGTGCTAAAGACATTCGATTGTCCCCACTTGTGTTCTGTTCACTACAATATAAGTAGTATATATCATCAATCGAAATAGAAATGCCTGGCTACAGAAGATTAAGAAGATCGAAGTAAAGAGAACTAGAACCGTGAATGATTCCTATAGAAACGAAGGAACAATGAAGTTTAAGACAACTGATTAAAGTTTTTCAAATCAACTATTGACAGTATGGTTATTAGATGTATTCAAGTACCTTCGATTGTCCCCCACTTTTGTTCTCATTCACTACACTACCAGTCATTATTGGTTAAAGGACCATATACAGAGTTATTTATTGTACTTATACCATTTCATATATTGTCTTCTGACATTCATACTACTCAATGAAGTGACCCCACTACTTAATAATGCTCATCAATGTTTTAGCTTTCAATCATGATAATTACTATAATCAATTCGATTCAATGAAAGATCGATGGTGGTTCATAATGGAATTCATGGTATATGTTTCTGTTGGGGACGTTAGATCCCCCAAAAACTCATATTTTGTAATTTTATCTTTGTGGAGTTTGTATGTAGATGTTTGCTTGGACATTTCTTACCACCCACGCACGTAGTCGGTTGACGAACTTATCGATTAAATGTTTAAAAAAGCTTCCATGGCAATATCGATTATATACATTTTATATATGATACGCTTGATTTGCGTGCTTGATGGACCTGGTATCTTCTGGTTGTCTATAGAATACACTTTCTACGTCTTACCAAGACTTCTGGATCAAGTTAGCTGAGTCGGGGACAACAGATCTAACGAATCTCTGTTTCCTTGATTGTTCGTTCTGTTCCGAGTAAGACGAATCAATAGTAGCATTCAACAGTTTCATCTTCTGGCAACTATTATCGAAGGAATCTGTACAAGATCCATGTATATATATATATATATTTCAATGAATGTTTTGATTTGTATTTTCATTTCATCTGTTGTAGGTATGATTGTTGGTGCAATGTGTGCAGTAACTGGTGTATTAACAATTTCATTACCAGTACCAGTAATTGTATCCAATTTCTCAATGTTTTATTCACATACATTAGCTCGATCAAAATTACCAAAAAAACGTAGACGTATATTACCAGTAGAAGCAATTCGTCCGAAACATAAATCAAATCAAATTGGAAGTAGTACAATTCATGGATTAATACATCATAGCAGTAGTAGTGGTGGTGGTGGTGGTGGCGGCGGCGGTTATACAAATGATACAATTAATTTAAGTAATTTAGCCAAAGGTATTGTACCACAAATTCCACAACCTATTGCTAAAGCTAAATATTCAGGTAACAGATTAATTCATTGATAAGAGTTATTATTGAAAATGTAGTTTGATTAGATAATAACACTGTTGAATGCCGGTTAGTTCAATGTTCTAAAGGATAAGAGTTCGCATATAAGACTGAAGACCCTGGGTTCGAATCCTGCGGATGGAATTGTGGATGCTCACTCCCACTGAAGAGTCCTATAGTAGGATGAAACAGTCATTCAGTGCTTCAATGGTAGTCTAACATCAATTGATTCATGATCTCAATCAGAAATGTAGTTTATATGAATTTATAAAAATGAATATTTGTTTTATGAAAGCTAGTTTTGCCTAGTTTCAATTCCTCATCAATGTTCATTCATGAATAGTATACACGTTATTTATATTATTTATTTTAACACATAGATATTGGTACAAGGGGACACCAGATACATATGCGTTAAACAAATTTCATTTGATTTGTGTGAATGCTGTGATACCGCGCGGGTAGCAAATCCGTAGATAGTTTTCTTAGGGACACACACCCGGAGCCTTCAACATAAAGGTTCGATCCATAAGGCAGTGGAGTATCGTAAGTAGATACAGTCCCATGGTAGCCGGTGACCAACGATTGGTTCATATGCCATTTGTTTCTTTAGGATCCTGGAGCTCATGTACAACATTGGTTTGGAATCAGACTTTTCCATCTCCCTTACGTGGACTCTTCGTGTCCGCCGACCCGGTTAAAGCTCCGGATATTCGGTTTTCGTCCTCTCAATTCCATAAACAACATACCCGCCGCGAGAAGGCAGTGAGTAGGACTTTCATGGCAGAGGCTATATACGCGTGGCCATGTGAAAGCATTTCGAGAGGGAGAGCAGACTCTCCCCACTGTCGACCGTACCAGGGCGCTTAAGACTTCAACCTTAATTATACCAATCAATTCAAAGGATAAAGTAACAATAGTTTGTAACTAATAAGCTTAAACGTTTTGGATTGTTTCTTTAGATGACAAACAGAGGTGAATGTTATATTATAATCCATACGTTTTATGTTTCTCATAATAATCTTCAATTGTATAAACAAAAACTACGGAAACCGGTTAGTCCCTTTCAGTTTTGTGGTAATGAGTAATTTTACAAACTCGTGGCTACAATTTATACACTTGATTCGTCCTAAATATGTCAAAATGTTTCTAGGTAAACTGTAATCTTAATGACAGTAGTATATTGACCAAGTCTGAAAATTTAACGTATATTTATATACTACTAAATTAATATTTAAGTAGCCTATTTACAAAACATTTCTTTTTTACAGATAATTTTACACATATTAAAGAAAATTATCAAAGTCGAAGAAAATTTTCTAATTCAAATGAATTCCCCATAAATGAACAATATAAATGTGCTTATGGTATACATACTAGACGTGCAGCATTGATAAATGCATCAAATTCCTCTTTGGAACAAATAGATGATGATAATGATAATGATTGTGAATCAATTGGTAAATCATTAAGATCAGAATTACAATTTACAGAGAGATCACGAAAAAGTTGTAAGTTGAAAATATACTACTTAAATGTTTATATGACAGATTATTTAGGGATACAATCTACTTAAACTAGAAGTGAAGTTAAGAAACTACTCAAAATACTGACTGAATATACTACTCATTAACTGGGACATATGATGTGCATAAGTGTAGCTGAGATGGTGGAGAAGATTTGTAGCTCAGGTGGATGATTTTGATGGAGTTTTGTTCTCCGAGCTGGATGGTTTGGTCCTTCTTCTAAAAGTCATCATCAGCACGAACTTCAGATAGAAGTCTTCTATCTGAAGACTGTAGCTGTTAGGTAATAGAATTCAGTATATAATAAACTAAATATCACAGTTTTAAACCAGCTAGAACTTAATGGTTTTAAAAAACTATATTTCAGTGAAGTGAGTGCAGCTTCGAAATGCGTGTTGGTCAAACAATTTAAATGTCAACCGTTGACATCTAATAAGAGTGAAATATTCATACAGTCCACATGCGGGACTCGAGCCCAGGACCGTCGGTTTTGCGGGTGAACAGTTAACTCCTAGATCATTGAACCAGCATTCAGTAGTGTTAATGTTTAACTTCAACCAATTCATGATATTACACGATCATTCAACATTGTTTTCAGTGAGTAACTGCCTCTACAACAGACACGGTTGAACTCCGCTGGCTACAGCTTCGTTGGTTGCCATAGGATGATCAATAAGTAATATTTCGTCTCAACACTTTACCCATAGATAATGAACTGAGAAAACTTTTAAATGCACTGTAGAAATATTTCGTCCCAGATAATGAACACTATATCTAGGCATACTTACTTACTTACTGACGCCTGTTACAACTCATGGAGGAGCATAGGCTACCAACCAGCATTCTACAAACAACTGTTTCATGACCAACGCTTCCCAGTTCTTCCCAGATGTTATTAATCCTTTTTATGTCTGCTGACAATTTTCGGAGTAAGTTGTTCTTTAGTCTTCGTCTTTTTCATTCCCATTCAGGATTCAAGATTACGGATTGCCTCGTGATACAATTCAAGAATTTTCTTAATATGTGTCCTATCCACTTCCATCGTCTTTTCCTAATTTCCTCTTCAACTAAAAGTTGGTTTGTTCTCTCCCATAATAGGTTGCCGACAATGATTTCCAACCAATGAAAATTGAGTATCTTGTGTAGACAATTTTTCAGAAATACCCATACTTTTTTATCATGGTTGTAGTAGTTCTCGAAGTTTGATCTCCGTACAGTAGAAATATCTTGATGTTCGTATCGGAAATTCTCACTTTGATATACATTGACATTGGTTTTGAGTCCCATATTCCCTTTAGTTGTAGGAATGCTTTATTTACTGTGCTGATCCTTGCCTTCACATTTGCATCCGATCGTTCTTGTTCATCGATTATGCTGACGAGACATGTGAAAGTCTACTTCTTCTAGAGCTTTTCCATCGAGTGTGTGATTAGGTTGGTGTTCTCCGTGTTATATTTGAGAATCTTGGTCTCGCCTTCTGTATATTGAGTGCTACTGCTGTTGCACTGATTATCTTCACCTGAATTTGTTGGTGCATATGGGAAAGAAGAGCCAAGTTATCTGCGAAGTACGAATCGTCTATTTGCATGCAAGTTGTCCATTGTATTCCATGCTTTCCCCCAGATGTCGAGGCCTTCATAACCCAGTCAACTACCAGAAGAAAGAGAGATGAGGGGCATATCGGACTCAAAACAACAATCAATCAGTTTTAATGTGAGAATTTTCGATATGGATGTCATGACAGTTCTACTGTATAGAGCTGAAACTTGGAGAACTACTACAATCATAATCAAAAAGTTACAAGTTGTCTACGCAAGATATTCAATGTCCGTTGGTTGAATACCATGAGAAATAACGTACTGTGGAAAAGAACAAATCAACTTACAATTGAGTAGGAAATCATGAAAAGACGTTTGAAGTGAAAAAGATCTACATTGTAGAAATCATGGAACTGTATCACAAAGCAAGTGCTAACTTGAAATTCTGAAAATTGTAAGTAGATATGAAAATAATGGATAACACCTAGAAACAACTGAGAAGTATTGCCCTAGAACAGAGAGTTCGATAAACAATGCTGCCAGGCTGCCAGTGATCCTTCATGGAGGAATGAGATAAACTAATGTTTTAATGATTCAATAAAGAAAGATCTGAAAAGGTTTTGTGGAGATTTTAGAAATTTCACTAGTCGAAATCATGAGCCAAATGAAGCTAGATTACCATGGAAAACCTGGAAGTACTGGACGGTCGTTTTGCCCTAGTATGGAACTCCTCAGCAGTGCGCATCCAGAATTAGGTTGCAATACTTGTCTAGTTTACTAGGACCTAATTTTCAAAGCAGCAAGCGGACTTTCCAAGCATCATCCTGATTAGCAAAGTCAACTTTGAATAAGTCTTCGTAACGTCGAAACCACATATCAAACGTGACATTGGATTCCGGATGGTAATGAAACTCAGAGATGCTGTTAGCGATACTATCAACTGATGGTGCAGTAGTAGTAGGATAAGAACTGTTTGTTTGAGTATTAGACGTAAGCTTTGGATCTGCTAACATCTGAATAACTTTCATCTACTGCTCGAGAAATAATTCCACTTTAGCAGGATCCATGTTTGCGCCAACCACGTCGCCAAATTTGCTAGGTTTGAAGCGGTTACGAGTTCACTTAGACTGCGAACGGAACAAAGACTCAGTGATAAAAAATCAATAAGCTAGCTATTTGATGCGTCCAAGGCCCGCTAACTAGGGGAAGAAGTCCAAGCTTGGAATGGGGAAGCCTATTCCGCAAACAGCCAGAAACGAGCGACAACAACAAATACAAATCAAAACGTATATATACAGCACAAAACCGTCCTTGGAGAGAGTTACCAAATAGCATACTAAAAGACGCAACGGACCAATATCACTTAAGATATTTCCCAAGTGCGAAATACGACATGAAGGTGACAAGAGCGCTTTTGGCGTGAAAACAAAGAACTTCAAATTTTTTTAAATAAAATTACAAAATTAGGACCTTTTCCAAGTGAGTTCTGGGGAACTTATGTCCCCAACATATATAAACCCAGTATGTTTGAAATACATGATTCATATCACAGACGCTGAGATTGATGTTCTGTACTCAACAAACAAGGCTAGGCAGGAAGCAGGATCGATTAGTACTCTAGACTGCTCGTATGAGTTTATGCGTCATTAGTCCGGTCGATAAATCACTGTTCTCCAATTGGCGGTATAATTAGGTTATAAATTGATTGCGGTAGGAACCCACAAGTTAAAACATTCAAAATATAAGAAACCATGTCTATTGTAGTTCTAAAATGTCATCTGTGGAAATAGTCATTGTCAATAGCATTGAATAGTTACTTTATTATTATGTTACAAATGATAGTTAGGTTTAAAATTGTACCATTGGACTCGAACCCTGTAGTTCTGTTGATTGGATGTTTACTGAAAGATATGAAATTCCTGCATTCAGTTAAGCATATCTTTAAAGAAACTATTCAACTGAAACTATGTTTATTAATTTATTTGAACACATAGATGTTGGTATAAAGAAGCAGCGAATACATATGCGCCACACAAGTAACTTGATTTGTGTGTCGGCTATGGTACTGCTTGGGTGCTCAAGCCGAAGCAGGTGGTTTTCATAGGAGGCCACACCCGGAGCCTTCTACCTAAACGTCTGATCCACAAGACAGTGGAGCAACGTAAAGAGATGCAGTCTCATGGTAGTCGGTGGCCAACTGTTGGTTCATACTCCATTTATTCGTTGAGGATCCTGAAGCCCATGTGCACCATTGAATTGGTCACAGGGTTTTCCAATTCCCCTAGGTGGACTTTTTGTGTCCACCAACCCGGTTAAAGTTCCGGATATTCGGTTTCCGTTCTGTCAATTTCGTAAAGAACACACGTGGTGCGAGAAGGCGGTGAGTAATACTTCCTTATCAGTAGTTGTATCCACGTGGTTGTGTGAGAGCATTTCGAGACGGAGAACTAACTCTCTCCACCCTCGGACGTACCAGGGCATTTCAGAGCTGTTATTCATCTATATTCCATAATTCCATCTGTTTCATCGCATTATTCTCATTATACGTATAGATAACACCAGATATAAATGATTCATTATCATTTGTTTATAAGAAGTCGGCCAATTGTCGAATCATCAGTCTCAAATTTACATCATCAGCATTTTCATTTTCATTTTTATTATGATTTAGCTACAGTTAACTCTAGTGGACATCCTGTCAATTCAATGAATCCATCAAGACGAACTATAGATAATCATCATCATCGTAAATCAAGTCATTTATCATATCATACAGAATATCAATCTAATCATAATCCTACTTCAATTCAACAATATGAAATCCAACATCACCATCAACACCACCATCAACATCATCGACAACAATGTGATTCCTTAATAACTCATAATAGTAAAACAGATTTATATATTTCATCGATTACATGTAATTCTGAATTATTACCTCAATCACCATCTATGTTTGATGAACAATTAAATATACAAAATAATGATACTACTACTACTAATACTACTACTTATACTACTAATAATAATATATCAGATATTATAACATATAGTACACATAATTATACAAAGAATATGAACTTGTTATCAAGTCCATGGATTGGTACATCATCATCCATTGATCAAACCAATGAACAAGATGATACGACAAATGAAATATGAAGAAACTTTCAATGGATGAACAATATGAAAAAAAGCCTTCCAATTGAATCAATAATCATAATATATACTTGTTACTGATCTTATTTACATTAGTAATCAGTTATATAAAATCTTTATATGATATTCATTGTATAGGTCAATCAGTAGGTTGATAGGTGGGTGGGTCAATGAGGGTACTTATTTCACCTGTAACCATGCATATTTTACATAAAAAAATATTACAATTCCAAGAAGAAAAAAGAGAGTTATCATTAATGAAAAATAATCGATTTTTGATGGGATAGTTCATTTGTTGTCATTTAAGTGGCTTATAATGTTCAATAAGATTCGCCTATATGAAGAGTAGTTATTTATTTACTTACTTATTTACGCCTGTTACTCCCAACGGAGCATAGACCGCCGACCAGCATTCTCTATCCCACTCCGTCCTGGGCCTTCCTTTCTAGTTCGATCCAATTGTGGTTCATTCTCCTTCATGTCTGTCTCCATTTCTCGACGTAATGTGTTCCTTGGTCTTCCTCTCCTCCCTTGACCCTCGGGATTCCATGTGAGGGCTTTCCTTGTGACGCAGTTGGGTACTTTCCTCAATATGTGTCTTATCCATTTTCAAGCGCTTCTTCCTGATTTCCTCCATTGGGATCTAGTTTGTTCTCTCTAACAATAGGTTGTTGCTAATAGTGTCCGGTCAACGAATCCGAAGTATTTTGCGCAGACAACTGTTAATAAACACTTGTATGTTCTGAATGAAAGCTTTCATTATTCTCCAAGTTTCCACCCCATACAGTAGAACTGTATTGACATTTGTATTGAAAATTCTGATCTTGTTGTTGGTTGACAGTTAGTTGGTTATTATCAGTAATGAGGTGTAGGAATTGTTGAGTTTCATTGAAATCATGAGTTGGTCTAAGTTACCTTTTTTTGCAATCTGAACACTATATTATAATGCAGAATAATAACAACATGTAAGGTACTTCTTTTGTGTTTCCAAGCAAACTGATATAAATCAATATATTCTTTTAAATCAGGTTAAAGTGTACTTTGATTATATCCCAATGAGTAGAAAAATTGTATTTCTAATGTTTCGTCACTTGATGTAATGCACTTCTTCAGAGTAAATAAATAACCGACTTTAAATTAACACAAGCTTATATAGTTCATAGGAAATAGTACAGCATATTTTCTTAGTATAATCAAAATCATAATAGATTCGCTTGAATTTTTCCATTGTTGCTTAAGTCTACAATTGATCAGTGTCTTGTTAGTATATGTGCACACTGTGCATATTGTCTCGATATTGCCTTAAGTCATAAACATCATAAGAAAAGATAGATGGTGGCTAACAGTGGAATTCAGTTTGACGCGCGTTTCGTCCCATTTGGAACTCGTCAGTTGGATGCACCTGTATCTGAGGGTTGATGTTCACTCCATATCTCGAATTCAGTACTATTCACTTCAAATGCCATCTAGTTATCCATTTAGTTACTGAGTCCTGATAGCTGCTAGCCTGTGCAATGGGGTAAAACTTAAATTCACTTGATATTGTTTGCTTATATTTCCTCATATCTCCCCCATAAGCCTGTAATTGATCAGTATCTGAATATGTCAACGTGAAGTTAATCTTGATCAAAGTGAATTTGCATGACCTGTCACTATATTAATTTATGGATATGCATTTGTAAAGTCAAGTAGTGTAGTTGAAATTAGGTGTGTGTGTGTGTGTAGATTGTGTGGTAGGTAACAAGGAGCTTAATCTCAATAAGATCCAACAATTTCCATAGTCCTATATCGATTATTTGTGTAAGTTAGATCTTCAAAGAATTCCAAAATTTTTGTTAATATCTCAACCAAATAGACTCATTTTAACGAATAAATAAGTATAGAATGCAATCCCATATTTCCAGATGTGCTCAGGTTGATATAAATAGTGCCACTGCACTGTAACAGACAGATAGATGATCATCAAGAAAGCAGCCTGGTTAAATATTTGTGCTATCTGTTCGTGCCATCTTCTTGCTTGTTCATTTCAACACATCATTATACCAATCAATTGCACAATCTATTCAGGTGCGCTTATGAAAAGTGTACGACACTTCATTGTACAAGTTACAAAAGAGCCTAATCAGAGACATTGTGGTTGCTGGCAATATACATCGAAAAGAATGAATATTATTCTGATGTTGATTTTTGAACTGATAACATCTAACTAGCGACCACATAATATTTATCGCAAGGGTCTATCAAGGAAAAAAGCTCTTACATATCTAGACAGCATCATTGATGAACACAGTGGATCTGATGCAGATGTGAAGGCGTAGATCGACAAACCAAGGGTAGCATATCTACAATCGAACGATATCTCGAACTCAAAACAACTGTCTATCAACCAGCAACAAGGTCAGAATTTTCGATACAAATGTCAACACAGTTCTACTGCATGAGGCAGAAACTTAGAAAACTATGAAAGCCATCATACAGAAGATAAAGGTGTTTATTAACAATTGTCTACGCAAAATACTTCGGATTTGTTGACCGGACACTATTAGCAACAACGTACTGTGGGAGAGAACAAACTAGAAATCAGGAAGAAGTGCTGGGAGTGGATAGGACACATATTGAGGAAAGCTTTCAGCCGAGTGACAAGGTAAGCCCACACTTAGAATGTTCAGGAAAAAAGGAGGAGAGGAAGACCAAAGAACATTTTACTCCAGGAAATGGAGACAGACATCAGAAGAATGAACAAGAATTGGATAGAACTGGAAAGGAAGACTCAGGACAGAGTGATTTGGAGAATGCTGGTCGGTTGCCTATGCTCCATTGGTAGTAACAGGCGTAAGTAAGTGTGTTAGTCGATCAAGGAATAAGAAACGGAAACTTGTTGCAATACTTTGTGCTGAGAATTCTGTATTGTACCAGTAATATCATATTGAATGGAGATAATAATAACAATTAAACTTTCTAAAATGATGTAAGTCATTATTTATTCATATATTTTAACACATAAATCTTAGTACAAAACGGAACTAAATAGATATGCGCCACACAATGCACTTGTGGGCTATGATGCTGCTGGGGTGCCCAAACCGAAGCGGGCGGTTTTCATAGGAGGCCATGCCCGGAGTCTTCAAACTTCAATCTTTGATCCACATAGCAGTGGAGGATCGTAAGGAGATGCAGTCCTATGGTAGCAGGTGACCAGTGATTGATTCATACGCCATTTGTTCCCTCAGGATTCTGGAGCTCATGTACACCATTGGTTTGGAATCAGGGTTTTTCAACTCCCACCAACTCGGTTAAAGCACAGCGTATTAGCTTTTCGTCCTCTCAGTTTCGTAAACAACACCCGTGAGGAGAGAAGGCGGTGAGTAGGAGTTCCCTGTCAGTGGTAATATACTCGTGGCTCTGTGAGAGCATTTGAAGAGGTATATCCAACTCTCCCTACCGTAGACCGTACCAGAGCATTTGGGGTCTATGTAACTCATAAATCATCTTGGGATTATATGTTTTACATGGATTATAAAAATATGAGGCATCGACTGGAAACCATTAATTCTTTAATAAGGATCTAGAGGATCGCCATAATGCCCGAATAGTGTATCCAGCAGCATTACAAAGTACTTGTAGTTATCTATAACTAGAAAAAATAAAACGAAAGAGAGATGAGAGAACAAATGCAACTAATATTACTGTGATAAGTTTACCATCGTGCAAGAGCAAAGCTGTTGTATAGCCTACTAATAATAGATTTTATTTAAATGAATCAAATTCATTAGGACTGTTTAAGTGTAAGTTATCAACAAGAAGGGTAGTTTAATAAGTGCTCTTATTAAAGCAGCGATTCAACATTCAATATCTCTATCATTTCACTAAAGGAATGGGATATAATCAAAGGTGTAAACAATTTTTAAGCTGTTTCAATGTAATGATAAACATCGATACAACAAAAAAGATGATGATAGTGTAGTGTGGCGTCGAGTCGCGGTTGACTATGATCACCACTACAGGAAAACTACGTGCCAGTTAACCGATAAGATCCTCCGTAAGCCAAATATCAAAAGGTAGTTGGTGGCTGTAGTCGAGATGTATTTATTGACGATCTAGTGGTATCGAAAGAATACCGAGATCGTGCCAAAGTAGTACAAGTGTGGTTACTGAACGTAACCGAATTCGTGCAAGGTCACAATCAATGGAAGAAAGAATGTCTTGAGTACAGTTAAACAAACAAGTACAGTAAGACAATCCTTGATACAATTGGTTATAATAATCATTGTTTCCATTACACCAATCGCCTTCTCTTGATAAAAGTAGGTCGCTACAATAATAACTTTATTTCCTGGATACATTGTGACATCTTATTCCAATGTCTTAAAACTTCACTTGTATAGTGATTCACCTAGAGAGAAGATTTTAAAAAAGGGATAGCTTTACCAATGATAATCAGTTATAGATGCTAGAATAGTAGACATTTCAGTATATTGGATTGTATCAATGAATGTAAATACCTTTGAATAGTAAAGTCTAGGTTGACTATAGCTGGATATATAGTTGATTGTACAATGTAGTGTCAGTCATTATGTTAAGCCCATATCCTTATTCTCGCTTTCGGACAGCCCAGTATATTCATTCTACTTGAGTTACATTTTGACCTTGTTATTTATTCGCCTATCGATCTTGACTGTTTTTATATGAGCACATATGTGTGTGCTCGTCATATCGCATTCATACGATCTAAATTGGCGTCAGATCCACGGGCCACTAAAGTGGAGAGCCCGTCAACGAACATCGTCCGATCTAAATGACAACAAAATTAAAGGGCCCCATAACAATTGCTCTCAAGAATGTGATGTGTAAATCTCAGCTAAATGAATTCTTACCTTCATTTATTCTTAATGCAAACACTGTGAAGAAAACAAAAAACGTACAGTATTCTACGAGTAGTCGGACATCTATATTGTACATTCAAATATATTACTCGTTGTTATTAAGGCTATGAAGTATGTTAACAAGAAGTCACTGAAGCCTGGAAGTCTATTTATAGAGACCTATTCTGAGAAAGACAATTTATGGGAACACTCAAGTTCTAAGTTCATCACAATGAGTAACTTAACTAACATCTTACGGTTTATGATAGAGTCTCGGTTAAGAAAATGATTACTGAAATCAATCCATCCACATTAAGTAGTGTTAAGTTTCAACTTTCATTTTGAGCACAACTGTGCGCTATCCTAATGAGCTCCAAAATGATATCGTTTTGTGCATGGTTTTAACTTATGATTAGAAGGTGAATACACTACTTAAGAGCATTTGAATATAGAAAAGAGTTTAGCCTGTAATGGCCCGTGGATCTGACTCCAATTTAGATCGTATGGATGATT